GCTGCGTTGGGGTTGACTATGCTGATGCCATATTTGTGACACTTCAGGGCTCGCTCAAGTACGTCGAGCGACATGGCGAGCGCGTTATCTCGCATCCATGCCTCGCCTCCACGATGGTGTAGCATGAAGTTGAATTCCATGTTCGGCAGCACACTATCTCCCATCACCAGATATGTCTCGTCGTCATGAGGTGGTGGGTGCATGGCTCGAACGTTCAACTCCCTGTACCGAAGAGGGGTAGGGAAGGCCTGGATCGGTTCTGCTCGCAGTCTGGGTTCGTTCTCATGATGCTTCTGAACCGCCGGAGAGGCCTCATATCGGACGTCGGCTTTCCACTGCCAATCCTTTTCGAAGGTCCAAGGCTTGACCAGGACATCAATGCTATATCGGCGTGTGCGCAAGCGCGGCGAGGTCTTCTTGGTTGGCACATAACCGGCACGCCCAAACCCACGAGAGGCAAGAACAAGCATCTGGCTCGTCTCCTCGCGCATCATCTGTTTTGTGCTGTTGAAGATGCTAACGTCCTTGCGAAGCGTGCTCGTGTCGATATTGACGCGACCACTCCAGTTGTCGAGACTGATCGGCACAGGCAATTGTTCAGACCAAGTTGAAGGATCCTCGACGGAGGGAGCCGTAGCCTCGGGTGTGGTGGGCAGTTTTGTTGTCGATAGTGACTCAGTTGTGGCTGATGACAGTGTGGACGGAGCTGGCTCATCGGTGTTGGGGGTGCTGCTTGTGGTGGTGGGAGTCGTAGCCTTCGAATCGGAGCATGTAGTCATTCCAGACGCGTTGGCTCCTGCTACTTCGGTCGGCAGACGGTCTGAGGGCGCAACCTCAGGCGACGACATGAGTGAGTCCTCGTTGTAGATTTCGAGCACCGCGTCTTCAGAGTGCGATGGCTGCGCATCTATCACCGCTTCTATTGTGTAGACCTTCTGGACCTCCGGGGCCGGCATGATTGGTGAGCAACTTTGTTGTATGGCGGTTGAGTAGCCCCAAAGGGATAGTGCGGTGAGTTGAGGTCGGTAGCGCTTAGTGGAGCGTTGGGTGAGGGTGAGTGCTCTACCGTGGGAGAGCCTTTCCCTGCGGGGCGGAATTCGGCACACAATACCAAAGCGCAGATTTCAAATTCGAAAGTGAGAGCGTGGCGAGTGGTGGGGGAGAGCGCGCGTTACCCAGTGAAAGTGGGAGGTGCGCTAGTCGAGATATCAGAAAGTTTGCTCAAGGTGCAGCAACTGTTTGCGTCGCTGAACGTCAGGGCAAGCTGAAAAAGTGAGCTCAAATAAGAGCTGTGTTGCGTGAGTTGGAAGGGGCGAGTGAGGAAGGAATGAGAGTCGCTTCCTTTAAAAGCTGTGGAAAATGTTTCTGGCGGAGCTAGTGAAGATGATAACCATGGTAGGAAGGGACCCTGGCGGACAGAGACGTCCACTGCAAAATCGGATTTCACGTGCTGAGACAATAGGACTTTGGAGCGAGTATGCAGTAGGAGAGAGTAAAGTAAAGATAGGAAGTATACGTGTGCGCGAGAGGTTGTGATGTCACTTCCTCGTGCGATGAGGATGAGGGGAAGCTGGTTCGGCGCGTATAGCCACGGCGGTGAGGTCGAAGCACGCCTCAAATATTCGCTTCTAGATGCTTATTTTTACATATGCTGTGACTGGTAGACACGTGAATGGCTGCACATTCGTGGTATCTGGGGTGGCCGAAGTGCGCGACGGTGACAGCCTGCACTTCGCAGATGGCGACAAGTGGGCGCGCTCCTTGAGCGGCGTCGCGAAACCAAGTCCGCAATCCAATACCCTTGGCTTAATCCTTACCATGGCCTTGAGACAGAGTCCGGCTGCCGCGATAGTATTGCAGCGTGAAATTTTGCCAATCAAGTTGTGGGGGTTAGCCTCACGCTCGTCAACGCGGTGCTCTACCGTATCTGCCTGCTGTCTGTAAGCTTAAGCATCTCTCCATATGCCGGGGGAAAATTGAAGACCCTCTGGCAGACAGCAACGAAATTATCGTTGCTTGAATGTATTACTCAAACCTGTCCGTTGTGCCACCTCTACAGCTGCACTCTACCTACAACGCGGCCTACAAAATAACCCTAGCTCTTTTCGTATATATAATTCTGCACTTGGTTATTGCAATAATTCCAGAGCCAGAAGCTGTCAATATCAGCACGTCTTGGGCAGCTAATTCCGAAGAAAGTGTCCAGGGTGCTTCATACCTAGCACGTGACCGCCTCTTGCTGACCGAGAGTGACATTTCAAACGATATCTAGATAACCATCGCCAAACTCTTGATGAAAAAGGAACTACGAAAATGACTAAGATGGTGTAAGTATTGAAATGCCACAAGCGCAAGCAGCAAGTGAAGTTGCGGAAATCCCTGGCGTCCCAAACCGCTTCTCGCTTAGCACAAACGTCAACGTCAACAGATCAGTGTCACTACCGTCATCACGCCCTTCACCCTCATCAATGACATTGAGCAAGGTAATGGAGAGAGCGTCGCCAGCACGGGGAAGTAATACGGCTGCCACTTGAGCAGCACAGCATCATCGCAAAGAAACCGGCCATCTCCCTCTCTCATAGGGCAATCGCGGGCTTGTCCTGTCACGACAACGATGCAGCCACTTGTACCGGGTGAACTGAGATTAGACCCGTATCGACACGAAGCTGTAAAAGGTATCGCTGCAGCAGCATGCTGAGCTAGCGTCGTTGCACGTAATATCTAGGGAAAAGTGTGTATGTCATTGCTATTGTCGCTACGCTAATATACTGATATATTACAAAGAAACGAGAAAGATCATAGGACTACGTCAGGGAATGCTCTGGCGCCTGGTCGCAGGAGCGCATCCACTAGGCTGTATAATCTGGACAGGAGGTAAACTGAGATACTCCACAGCAGGACGTGGAATGAGATCCTGAATGAAGATGTCCTTATGCTGGCCGGGATGCAGATCGTAGAACTGACGAATAGCGTCTTTGTCCGCCTGGCTGATGGTGAAGCGCGACATGTCACCGACATTCCGGTCATTCATGATGGACTCGTTGTCATGGATGTGAGATGGGTACTGATATGCGTTACCCGGCTCCTTGTTGTCCTTCCAAAACTCGTGTCGAAGTCCGAGGATATGGCCGAGCTCGTGGCCAAGGACTTCAACGACATACTGCTGCTCGCCGAGCAGACGAGCGCCGATGTCGATGACTCTTCTCTGCCAGCCGGGAAAGAAGGCTAGAGCATAGTGATCCATGCCCAAAGCTAGATTGTATGCGATTGAGAAGGTGGCTTCCTGACGTTTGTATGTCTCCTCAAAAGCTATGCCAAATCCAGTCGCTTGCCAGTGATCTCCGGCGGTCCTCATACCGGTTTGGATGACTGTTGCTTGAACAGTCGACAAGCCGCGACACTCGATGTAATAATACAGCGTAGATCCTGGGGCCCAGCGAATGACTGTGGTTTTGGAAAAGTTGGTGTTGAACGCTAGAGCACTAGTCTGGATCTCCTGAACATGGTCGTCATGGAGTCTTTCAGTCTGACATAAATATCTGAGGATATACGCTCCAGGGCATTGCAGCTTGCCGCGCGGGCCGAATTTGTCATCGTTCGAGACCTTTACTAGGTCATGGTCTTGGCTATGAACGCCATCACTGAAACGGCCCGAGTGAGCGCTCACGACACTGCTATTTGCCGATGAATAGCTGACGAGATGATCCAGATGGTGATTGGGGGCTCTTCCGTATAATTTTGGGGTCATGCAGATGAGATCGTACGTCGCATGTACATTTGATACAGCACTCTGGGCATATATCCGACTTGACTGATCTGAATTCCCGTCTCCGATCAGCGTGATATATGGTGTTCTATTCGAGGAGCGAGCCATTGTAGTGCTGAAGACAAAAATAGCGAGTGGTTCTCGAGGCAAGAGGACAAGTTCGTACAAGAGTACTGGTCGGGCCAGTACAAACTGAAAACCAGTAATGAACTGAATAATCGATTGAGCGAGCACAGGTGAATGAGTGGGGAATTCTTAAGCAGGAAAAAGTGTAACCGCGAAAAGCGTGGAAGGTTCCTCATCCCGGACTGTAGCAACCAAGCTGCGTCGGCCGACCACTCACAGACAGTGCGTGAACCAGGCCACCCGTGGCGTCCAATTCTAGGCATCACTCCGCAGCCAACCTGTGTCAGCGTCAGTGAGGAATCCACGTAAGCCTTTCGACATCATAGCACGGAAGCACTGATCATGGACATATATGATTCCATTCATTTACATATCTCCCACCCATCAATAACTCTCCTCTCCGCCTTCAATCATATCCCAGTCCCATCCATCCCTCATCCCCCCAAACTCCAATTCGGGCTCGAAAATCCGCCCTACTAGCAAAAACACAAAAGAAAAGCTAATCAAGCCGCCCATTCGCTAATGGCGCTTTCCCAAACATGGCATCGCTCGTCGTCAATGAAAAACAGTTGATTGTACAAAGAGTGTGTGTAATGTAGTTTGTGTGTGTGAATAAAGAGTGGCAGTGGGGAGAGTTTTTAGTTCATCTTGTCGGCGGCACTAGAAACTAGAACATTACGGTTTATTGGCGTAATTCAACGCGCAGGAAAGAAAAAAAAGGATAACCCCCCACAATTGGGTTTGGTGTGAAAGGAACGCCGTGGATACGCCCCCGGCTGGCTTGGAAACGAAGGGAAGTTGGAAAGATGAAAACGAAAGGGAAGAGATTGCGTGGTGCGTTGATCGTGAAGGTTAGCGTCTTCAGTGATCTGTGTTGCGCGGTGTGGTCCGTGGTGAAGGGATCATGTGATAGACATGTCATGCCTGTCACTTTGATGTCCAAGTTCGTTGCTCTGGCGCCAGAGGTGGAAGATGCCGGTCCAGTACCATAGAGTTCAATGGCGGACGCCACATACACGTGGTGCGCAACCTTCTTTTGGACGCGTAGACGCCGAACTACGGAGGTCGCTCCGAGTGCTTGTGTACATATGGAAATGAAGAAAGGATCATGACCATCGTGATAGTGTTCATAAAACGTCCCAAATGTTTCGTGTGATTGGACTGCTGCCGGCATGCACAGGGCTCCGGGGGTCAACGGTAGCCTTCTCGGGAGTCCACTGTCGAGGTACCGGGTCTGTCCAGTCGTGACCATTCCGTCCATCTTTGATGGTCTCATTCGAAGACACCGGGCTATCGTCCTCGCTTGTAACCTGGAGTTCGAAGTGGAACGGATTGCGAGTGAACTCTTCTGCTCGCGGGGACATCAAGGCATCAATGTCATCCGCAGCATGTTGAGGTGCAGGAGCCTTCTTCGGCAACTTTGACGCCATCGCTGTCTGTAACTTCTGCAACTTGCGCTGGTCACGTAGGTTCGGTGAAGAAAAACGTGTCTTGATACCTTTGGACGGGGTCGATAGAAATGCTTCTTTTGGCGACTGAGGTGTTTCGGGAGCTTTGGGTATCGGCACGTAATTACGCGGTGGCGACTCGATAGTGGGCGCATTCTTCGTCTCGCCAGAGGTGTTAACGCTATCAATGCGTGGCGAGTGCCCGAGATCTTGGCTCGTACCCAGGGTGCGCAGCGGGAGCGACTCTGGAAGTGTCGGCTCTGCCTGTGCTGTACCGTCGAGTGATGCAAAACCATTGAACGTCTGGTGAGCAGGTGGAAGAATGGCCTGGAATGATGGCTGTCGGTCTCGCGGCTGAGCCTCTTGAATTACCGGAGGAAGGGGCCTGTCGAAGGGATTGCCAGGAATGTCGAAGCGCGTTGGCGAAGTCAAGCCAAACGGATCCTCATCTACGGTCACCTCTGGCTTGAAAGGAGACATGTGAAACTCTTCGGCCCTTGGTGACGCCAATGGCTCCTCTTCATCGTGATCATCCTTGCCGAAGATATCCTTGGGAAATTGTGTTGCAATAGGCGACGCAATATCGGATGGATCGAAAGCAGCGATACTAGAACCAAACCTTGGAGGCGACGGTGTCTCGCCAAGGTTGAAAGATGCAGCACGCGGCGAGAGCAGGTTGTACGATTCGTCGAAGCCACTGTGGTTCAGTCCGGTCATGTGGAACTCGGAAGATCTTGGAGAAACGAGCGTAGGTCGCGCATCGTGCTCTTCCTCGACCGACTTCCTGTCGTCAGAAGATGGCTCCGTGTCATAACCACTTGGCCATGAGTGGTCAAATGATGTCTTGATAGGAGATGTGATCTCCGAGCTATCGAACTGCTGCTGTGGAGCAAAAGAAGGTGACATGGCAAAGCTTGCCACAGCCGGCGATCTGAGAGCACCGAAAGACAGCGGCTGAAGACCGACAGACTGGCCCACTTCTAGGTGCGAAGATGTTACCTCCGCCGAACCCTCCTGGGCTCTGAGTGGCAGTTGACGGGAGAAGTTGGGGACCGCGGAAGGCAGCTGCAATGTTGAACGCTTTTGCGGAGGCGCTTGGAGAGGCGTGGTGGTATCTGCCTTTGGAGAGGTGATATCATTTGCAGTAATCGACAAGACAGGAACGACATGCCCAGCAGGATCAACATAAGGAATAGTTGATGGAGACGGTTGTGAAGGGAGGTCGAAGTTCGACTGACTGACATCCCACGAGCGGCGGAAGCTAGTGGAGAAGGCACCGGTTGGTGCTGACAATGGACCGGGCGAGATAGCCATCATGTTGCCAGTACTTGCTCGCTGCATGGACATGTCGCTATCAGGTGGTAGCGGTGCGGTCCGCGGTGTCCGTGAGCCCGAAGTCGTAGTCTCGAATGCCGAATATCGATTACTACCGTTGTTCAAGCCGGCTGATCGCCGTCCAAAGCCTTGGTTTCTGCTGTCGTTCGCCCTCAAGAGACCATTGCGGAATTCCTGAAGCTGCATAATGAGATTCATGTTCGGGCCGATCCACTTGCTTCGCTTCTTCGCTCGGTCGTATGCGTCTTGTACACTCATCTGGGGATTTTTGTATAGGCCATATGCCACGATCAAACTCGCGGAGCGACTCACGCCGCATTGGCAATGGATCAACACTCGCTTCCCTTGCTGAACCCTCTCGTCCATAATCTTCACAAGCTTGTAGAGATCAGGGACAATGTCGGTGTTATGCTCCCCATGGCATGTGGATATACTCGGGAGTCTTGTAAGTCTTGCCATCAATGACCAGTTCTCCTGGCTGAATGGTTTGCATCACAGGTGTGGCCTTGGGCGTAGTCGGTGAATTGTCGTCCATGCCGAAAGATGTGGTCGGCTTCGCCCGTTGCGAAAGAGCTGCGAAATCGACACTCTCAGCTGGTGGACCGTCTATCCTCCTGGCGTCAATATCTTTTTGCGACTGTGATGTTGGCGATGTGAAAGGGTTTTTGACCTCACTCGCAACGTTGATGATTACGTCGAAAGTGCACGCCTGCTGAGTTGTGGGCTCGAAGTAGAGGTAGACACCGGCTTCGTATATGCAAATTGGTCCGTTGGGGTACGCTGCGGGCTTTTCCTCGCGTGACTGTGGAATGTCAAAGTTCTGCTCCTGATCCTCCTCCTCTTCCATCTCGAACGGGACCTCAGACAAGCCGCTGGGCTTTGTGACAAGCGGGCGCAACGCGGGCAATGTCATGCCATTTGAGGGACCCAAGCTTGATCCGCATACGGGCAATGATGGAGACGACTGGAAGTGCCGCAACGCAGGCCGGTTGAAGGACGGGGTAGACGGTATGACGAGACGCGCCGGCTTGCTCTCTGAGCTGCCGGGCGATCCAATGGTCAAGCTGAGATTCGATGGCCGCCTCTTCGGTGGTGTTGGCGGCTTGATGAATAGTGGAGAGGGTGGCGCCGAGCTGTTCCTCTCTTTGTTCACGACGGCCACGGGTGCAGGCGTAGGGCCACGGAGGTTCGTGAGGGACGTTGTGGTATTGATGCCGAGGTTCTTCAGATTCCGTGCTTTCTTCGCGGGTGTCGTAGGTCGCTGCAGCTCGAAGAAAGCACTCGGTGATGCGTCTCCAGGGCTGGTGTCAGGCCTGCGCGAACGGAAGTCGGCCACGAAGGAGGATGATGCGGCAGTCTTGGCTAAAGGCGACTCGGGTGAGACGCCTGGCGACGGGTCGGTCACAGACGAGGAGTCCATGGTGGAGATGGTTGTGGTTGGGGGAGTTGTCGGAAGAGGCCGTGGAGTTGCTGTCGCGACTGTCGGTATGCGTGTGGTAGGAAGAAAAGGGTGCACCGCTCGAGGCAGGCCGTGCTACGTGGCTGCCATGTGCATTTGTGTGATCTTGAGTTCCGTTGTTGTGCAATTCTCCTCCGAACACTGCGCCGAATGAGGGCATCGGCATAAAGGACCGCGGGCTCGTCTGAACCATACTGGGTCGGTGGAAGTTAGGCGAATGTGCCGGACGTGGGCAGCGGGTGCGGGTGAAAGTGTGCTCGAGTTTCTTGGAAGGAAACGAGGAATTAGGTGCAAAGAATGCTCTCTTTAGCGTCGGACTGTCAGCGTCTGTGCTATTTGAAGGTGCCATGGGCGCAGTGTCCCTGGTACTGGGGACGGTATTGTGCAGTACGGAGTCGGGGTCCTGTACACTGTTTCCAGACAGGCTGTTTACGGACTGCGGAGAGGGTGAGGGCATGCACATGGTGGTGAACAGAGGGCGGTACCCGCGTGCCGCGCTCTGTAGGGAAAGACGTGCTTACGCCAGTTGGCAGCAGCCGATCCAATAGCCTGAAGCTATACGCAGGGTATTTCCGTCGTGCTTCAAGTATCCAACAATACCGTGTACAGCTTCAGACTATCGGTTCCAACCGCACAGCGTATCGAGAAGGGGCAGTGTATGAGAGGACGGGGCACAGGATACAGGATACAGCAAACAGGAAGCAGAAAACGTGTTGACGTACCGAAGCGATTCGCGAGCAGCGAACAAGCCACGCTGCTGTTGGTGGTTTGGCTGTGTGGGAGGATGCCAGATCCTCGACTAAGCGCCTATACAAGGAGCGACTGGGCCGGCGATGCGCCTATGCCTGGGAACGTGGCGCGGAACAAGAAGATTCGAATAGGCGACCAGGTGGAGGCGGTCGTGGCGGGTGGAGCAGGTACGGCGCTCTGGCTGTCGTCTCGTTGTCGTGCTCACTCGCTGTCGCACACGAGGAGTCGGGGGATGGCAGGCGAAAGCGCGAAGATGTTCGGTTCCGCGGGTTTCGTGCAGTGTTGCGATCAGCCGGAGTCGCCAGTGTGAGCCGCCGCTGCCTAGGGAAGGTGCTGTGGGTGAGAAAGGAAGGTGCGCGCTGTGAAGTCGGGAACGACAACGACCCAACCACGCAGCGCACCTCGTTTCCAAGCGCCGGGCGTCTTAAAATAGAAGCGCGACGCCAGCCGTGCACATTCGCTCCGCTGCTAAGATTCCAGACGCAACCACTCACAGTCGTCGCCACGCCGAGCCTGTCGACCACTCTGCAATGCCAGCGTGAACTGCTCACTGCTTGCAGACCCAGCGCTGTTTGCTTCGAAGAGCCGCTGTCCAACGACACGCATTGTTGCCCATGCCCGCAAACTGCCCTCGACCTTCGACCTTTGTTCCAGGCGAATGACTGCCCCAAGAATAGCCCCCTGAGGCACGCATCGCCATCCTGGGAAAGGCTAGACGAGACACCAGGCCCTGGAGATGATTGCAGCCACCCCGGACGCTAGCCGCCACCCCAAAGAACACAGGGACTGTCGCCTCTGGTCAGCGCTTTCTTTTGCAATTCATCACTTCGGCTCGCATCATGATTGCTATTGTGCCGCATTGCACCGCTCTTCAGGCTGAGGTATCCTTGCCTTCGCCTATCCGTAACGGCGTCCTGAGGCTCCAAACCCGGCAAAGGCAGAATTCTCTAGGATGAAACGCAAGGCTGGCCGACCCACACTGTTGGCGGGGTGAGTTGTGCGATGATGCTTGAACATGTGCGACTTTGCGACGGCACTTTGGAATCGCTCCCGTCATGTGAGCAATCTTTGCTGTTTCAGATTGCCAGCACCTACGCTGCGGTGAGTTTCGCTTTACAAATTCTTGAGCATCCGCGACTTCGGTTCACCAGTTTGTGCAACGTTGCCCGACATGCCGTTTGACAGTTTGCAAGCGGATGTCTTTGCGACAGTGCGTCCAACACACCGCTTTGGGTTCCCGCCGATGGTAGTCCGTCCTGTAATCATCATATCTTGCCTGTTCCGGTCAAACAGCTGGCCGAAGTGTTTCAGCCTGCCAACAATTTCTCACCCGCGGGAAAACTCATGGACCCTGGCGACGATCCTACGACGGCGCCGCGCCGACGATAGCGACACGTGAGATCGAGGGCCGATCTGGTAACGCTGACTCGCATAGAGTACACCACGAAGACGGAGTACGCAATGCACCCATCTGGCTGGTCGCATTCCGCCAGACAGATTAATGCCCAGGCAATTCACAGTTAGATGGCTTCATTATCTCTATCTTGTCAGATGTGCCAAGTATCAGCCCGACCAACGCCCGGGGTAGAGTGCTGATCGTGCCCTGAACGCGTCAACATGGAATTCCGGCAGATCTTCCACCAGCCGGGCTTGTGGCATGAGGATCTTTTACTCTTCGATTAAGGATGGTCAACAAGCAGATCATGACGCCAGACAGCCAACATAAAACGCCAGGGAGAGTTAAATTGCAGCAAAAGCTTTCCACCTTTGAGCCGACATGGCGAGTGTAACTGCAGACACGGGCAACTGCAGGCGAGCGTCATATTGATTACACCTGTTAGAACTATAACATCGAATGCGGTATGTTATCAATGTGATAGAACAGATCCTCAGCGTGACTGTTTAGGCATGTTGTTTCGTCTATCAGACGATCGTCTTGGCACATGGGCCGTACGATGATCCATATTGTTCCGCTATATCATACCTTAGCATGAGGACTTAGCATTCCCACAACAATAGCCAGATTATGGACCTTCAGTCCTTCTCTTATGCATACAGGCAGGAAATGACCGCCAGTGTGCCTCAATGTACTTGCATTGAATTTGTATTTCGTATACGTTAGGAAACACGACGAATCACCAGACAACGTAAAAGGGTCATTTTTGGACTCCACATACTTTGGAGTTCATGAACGGCTGCGAAAGAAGAGTACTGCAACTTGGCACATGCTAGACGACATGTGAGGCTGCACTATCGACTTATGCTCAATGTTCTGAACTACGACTAAAACGGGCCAGGCTGCAAAATTACACAGCCCATCCAAGAATCTGAGTCTATACACACAGCCGTTCAGTCAAATCCAAAGTGCAGCGATGTTTCCCATGGCTTCGAACTATGGAATGCACTTGCTCACTTTCCCAATTGATGGCTTGCAGTAATGTCGGTGCCCTAAGAGTGTCCGCAATCACAGCCCTCAAGTGAACTCGAACTTGGCGATTTAGTACAGCACCTCTATGGCAACTTTCATGTGGGTTGGCTTTGTCGGCAATGGGCAACGAAGCTCGCATTTCTGGAGCGACGCGCTAAGGCCATATCTGGTGTAGTATCACGCCAAGATGTCGGTTAGTCAGCGGCCACAATCGAACTACCACCTAGGCAAAATCATCAACACCACGACAGGTCAGCGATACTAACAACAGCAACGCCCACGAGACACCATGTCAAGGCCGACCGTTACCGTCATCTCCGCCAAGGGCGAGTCCACCAAGGACACCCTCACCGTGCCCAATGTAATTCAAGGTCAGTTCTACGACGCTTTTCGCAATTTCGAGATGGGGAGGAAT